CAAGTGATATCTCTGCTTTCGAGCACTTCGTCGAACCAGCTCCAGCTGAAACGCTCTTCCGTGATAAGAAATGGAAATTGATATCCAAGACCCCCGCTTCGGGCACTGTGATGGCTTCTGTATCTTATGGCTCTACTATTTGCAGCATGGAAAAGAAGACGAGTTCTACAAACTATTCAAGCAGCTCGGATAATGACATCTGTAATATAAACTATGCAAGAGTTAGGCTCTCAATATCAATAGGCAGAAACTCGCGATTGATGAGATTGAGTTGATTTTGAGATTTTTGAATTCGCTCTTGTTGAGATTCAATCATCTTTTCAATGCGCGTGGGCTCTCCGACAAAGTCAAAACCCTTAAATCCAGCGATCAAGCGATCAAGCGGCTGTATACTTCATATCTATAATTGTCAATATAGTCTTGTATGGCTAGATTGTATATTCTAGAATATTTAGTCTGTATATACAGATATTGCTGCATGATCGCTACCATAAATAGTTTTTCGAGAACCAATCGGGAGTGTAAGGATGTTGATCATCAATCGGACCATGTCGCTTATAGTATCGCTCTCTTCGCTTTGTATCTTTGTGATCATAGTCACGGTATGCTTTTAAATTTGTGCGATCTTGATATTGCTGATAGGGCTCACCATTAGACTTGATTGCTCCAAACGACACGACTCTGCCATCGCTGAGCAACGCATCGTATTTTTTTGCCCTTGCGCTATGAAACGCGGAACTTATATCGTGTATCGTGACAGAGCGATTACAGCTATGAGCGATAGCACCGATAAGATTAATAGATTGGAAACTTCAAAAGTGAATTGAAGCGCCTGCAGGTCTTGTAAAAATAATACCTCACTTCGAAGACTGGTTCATATTCGCCATCACCAAACTCAAGGTCTTCTCTCGAATGTTCGCATCAGACTTCACCTTATCAGTGTCGAATGTAAATGGCTTCACGTTGATTGGTGCGATTGTTGGAGTGTAAACTTTGTCATCATTATCATCAATAACGACCGGCTCCTCATCAGCTGTATCAACGTATTGAATGTCCACTTTCTAGGTATATTTATCTGAAATATATTTAAGATAATGTAGAAACGATGTAATTATCTTCATGTTGTTCATGTATCGCTTCTATGAGTGACGCTTAGCGCGTATCGGCCTCCATGGTTATCAACACATTGTTATTATCTATATCTCTAAAACAAATTGCCAGGGTCACAAAAAATCTATCTTAAGCATTGAAAATATATGCAATTGGATCCTCAATTCGTTGTTGTTGCTCCTCCTTCACGCATCGTGCATTAACAAAATTTCGTATCATTTGCTGGTGATTGGCATCACGTCGTTTCTGACGATTACTTCTGGTATCTTTATGATAAGATTGACGCGAGTGATTCATGACTGTTTATATGTACCTGGAGAGAGTAAAACAAAATATCATAGTCTAAGCACTCTGTTCTTCAAGCCACCGCTTGTGCTTCTTCGATCGAACGTGAACATGGTGATTTGCAGCAGAATATATGCCACCACATTCACAATTGGATCGAGCTGCTTGTCGGGGCTTTAGTTATTGCATCCCATCGTTGCTTATTTTGCCCTATAGTATTCTTTTTTCTAGGCCTCAGATTTCTCTTTATTATCTTTTCGAGACTTCTTTTTTTTCGCAGCTGATCTATCGCAAACG